AAAAAAAAAAAAAAAAAAAACCGATAACATTGAGAGCTTGGGCCGCCTGTGGTTGATGCAAAATAACTGTGCAGTGTTAATCACAAAGCATCGATCTCTCAAAGCGTGGCAGCGTTTTCTTTCATTTCTATTGGTTATCTTTTTATAGATCTGTCAAGTTGCACTATCGAAAAATTCGCGTAACGTGTTACGTTAGGGACCGCCACGAGAAAAGTAGTTGAAATAAAAGAACTCACCGACACGTGTTTGTTCCGTATCTATCAGTGAATGTTCTGGCCAAATTTCAAGGAAAACCGTCGATTCTACATACCCTATTAATAAAGAGGAGGGATTCTCTCGGAAAACGAGTGCAAGTTTTCGCCTTCTAAAGATTTCTAAACATGTCACGCCTTCTCAGCGGGATATGTCAACTCAAAATGCCACCAGCCAATGAAATAACAGAACCCCTGGTAAAGCGATAGTGTTAGAGTCACGTTTTAGGCGCATACGTTTTGGGCCGGTGGTCAACAATAAAGGGCAAAACGGAGGAAAGCGATGTGCAACAAAAACAAAAAGAAACCGAGGAGCAATTGCCGAAGCGTGATTACAAAAAGGCACTCTTGACGGACATGAAATCATAAATTGAAATATATTTGATATAGGATCTCTGGATTAAGCCGTTTGCCTCAAAAAGGTCGCTGAGGAGTCCATGCCTTTTGGGGATTACGACACCTTGACGGTTTATTAACTTTTATTAAGAATCATCTTTTTCCCAATAACTCGCGCGCGTTTTAATATTTTATTTTCATTTTTTGAGAAATGTTACCTTGAATAATGAACTTTAATTTAGTTGGAAAAAAGAAACTTTGGAAAAAGTAGCCCCGCGAAGGTTTCGAGTAACCTTAAAAGTTTGATAGTAAACTCGAGAGAAATGTACATTGCCGCTTCAGTAATTGTTTCTTTCTTTCGCTTTCCTGAATTGCCGGAATGCCTTGAATTTATTATAATTCCGGTTGTCAACTGAACCATTTCTTGATCAATTTGATCAAGAAATTCGAGAAAAACAAAAAGAAGTTATTTTAAAATTCCCTTCCCTGGCAGTTCCTCTGGCTTTTTGAAGTGTGGTTTGGCAGGCATCATCCTGTATTAAACTTTCCGCAATGACCTGAAACCGCTTTCTACAACCAGCTGAAATGTGCTGAAACGAACGCATACCGGCTGCCGGTAACGTACTCAAACTCGTCTATGTGTCACACAATCGATTCTAAAGATTTCATCCCTACAAGCACCACCAAGCACCACTCCATTTTGTAAAGACAAGGATTGTTCAACATGCAAATCAAATCAGTTAAAACAATGACTAGTCCCAAGGGGAACAGTGAATTTTGTTTCCCGAGAATCTCAATGTTTCCCGAGAAGAAGTCGAGGGAAACATGTAGATAAAACAAATGGGTCAAACCGGTGGAAAACAAATAATCACTTTATTGACAAATGACGTCCAACAGCGGTCAACATTTCGCTGGTAACAGTGAACTGTTTCCCATTTGACGTCATAATGCCCGCTCATGGCATTTGGCGGGAAACAGTTTCATTGTTAGATGTCATGTGACCATGAATGAGCGCGCTGTAGCGCGAAAATGCCAGCTATATAACAACTTCTCTTGTTGCGCTAACAAACGATTTGACTATGAAATGTTCACTCCACCTCCATCGCATCCCCTTCCTGGCATGCTCGCGATAGCGGCAGCGAATAAGATTTTAAAAGAATTGCGAACTCATGCGCCGGAACATGGAACATTCTGGAACATTTCGGAACATCCCGGAACATCAAAAAATTATATTATGAGAAAAATGTGTAAAATTAAATAAAGAAATAACTCAACAAGAAAATTAAAGGAAAAAAAAAAACTAATTAAAAATAAATATACTGGTGTCCCCGGGCCAGTATAATGCCTCCTTACAGGCAACAAAGTGCGGTAACTTGTCGTTCGGTGTATTTTAAATGATGGTTCGAGTGGGAGAAAATACCCTTCCTCTTCCATAAATCGCCCCTTAGCTGTATAAAACAAGCAAGTTCCGTCTGGCAAATTAATAACTCATCAGTACTCGAGTAATTCGAATTAGTTTAGACAAGGAACTAATGCGGAACAAGGGGAATTGAAAACAGTGTCCGCAAGTAGAGGTGTCCGCTTACGAGAGTGTCCGTTAGTGGAGAGTTGACTGTATACGGATTGAGATAGAAGCTGCAGCTATTGTGCGAGATACAGAGATATTGCCACAAGGACATGCAATCACACTTCGTACAGCCTCTCGTATACTGTGTACCAATGACGTCACGAAAATTTAACCCCCTGTGCGACCGGCGACGTATGGAACAACGGCGCTCGTGAGCAGTAATCAGCGATTAATTTCGCAATTTGATGGTCTCTCTAACTCAAAATGTCGGAGAAAGCCCACGACATGCACCTTGGAATAATAATAATAACAATAATAATACAGAGTTTGAAGGAGGGCGGAGAAATAGGATGGGCTTCTCTTGTATGAAGGCTGTTTATGAACACACTGATCCTTACCTCCATAGCACAGACGGCCCAGACGTTGAATACGATTAATACGTGACATTATGCTGTTGGCGATTGCGTTACAATTGTAGCCGTTTATCAGACAATGTATGAGAATGCTTCGAAAATTACTCTAAATGCTACGTGGACAAAATAATTTGAATAAAATGGCTTACCTTGTGTTTGCATTGCGTTATTTTGATGTCTCTGGATTCCTGGAGGTGGTTTAGAGCCATTTAGGCGAGTTTACTGGCGGTTTGCTTCCCCTAAAGAGAAACGAAAGGCGGGCGACCCACTGGTCCGACGGCCCGCAGTCAAAGCTTCGTAAATTCCACAAAAATGGTCTAATCTAATCAAAATTGCCTCATGGCAGCCGTCGATGTCGAAGGTAACAGCATAATGTCACGTGTTAATCGTATTCAACGTCTGGGCCGCCTGTGCTCCATAGCTGAAAAAAAAAATTATTATTTTACCTGACATCCAGGTGTATCATTAAAGCCAGCAAGCCAGCAAAGAAATACCATAAAGAAATACCGTAGATCCGATCCGATTCGTTGCCTTGCCGTGATAAAACTGGCCCGCCCTTCCTTCGCATATAAAAAACAGTTTCAGCCAAAGCTACTTATGTTACACGTATCGCGCCGAACTTGCATATCAATGAAATACTTCTGCTCACGTTCCTTTGCTGCACCCGAATGTAACCTTGAGATTTTATGGTGACGTCACCAAACTTTCTGCCAAAAGCAGCTAAAAGCGGATCTTTCCACGCGCTGGGACATCTCTAGCTCATTTCTCCTACTATCAGACAACTGTCCGTTATAACAGTCAGAGTTACTGGGCTGCGTTAACCTTTGGAGGAAGATGAGTGATCTTGGAAATCCAGTTGCGGATGACAGAGTAGAATTGGTCGACGACGAACAAGTTGGCATAAAATATCGGCTTCGTAAATGCGGGAAATGTCGTTTGATCGTCATTTCCCTCGTTATACTCTGTGTAATCGGTGCAGCTGTCGCTCTTGCGGTTATCCTTACCAGAGGTATGTGTAATAACTTGGTTTATGTCTGATCACAGTTGCACTGTAATGTGTACATCGTGAATGTTGTTGCTAAACATGCAAACGTTGTTGAATCAGTGCGCTGCACTCTACAGCCACAAAAGCCGTCGCTCTTCCAAACACGAGATCACTGTGCAAAAAGTTTGTTAGGCTTCGGGGGGCTGAACGTTTGATAGTAAACTCGAGAGAAATATAATTGTCGTTTCAGTAATAGTTTCTTTGTTTCGCTTTCGTGAACAGAACTGCCGGAATTTATTGAATTTATGATAATTCTGGTTGTCAATTGAACCATGTCTTGATCAATTTGATCAAGAAATTCGAAAAAAACAACCAAAACAAAAAGCAAAACACAACAAAAAAACGAGAAGTTATTTTAAATTCCCTTCCCAAGCAGTTCCCTAGGCTTTTTAAAGTGTGGTTTCGTCGGCATCTTTCCTGTAACTGCTTTTAATACAGCACGTGGTACAGTTTTTTTCCGCAATGACCTGAAAGCGCTTTCGACAACCAGCTGAAATGTGTTGAAACGAACACATATCAGCCGCTGGTAACGTACTCCGTCCAACTCGTCTATCTGTCACACAATCGATTCTAAAGATTTCATCCCTACCAGCACCACCAAGCACCACCAAGCACCACTCCGTTCTGTAAAGACGAAGATTGTTCAGTTAGACTCAATATGCAAATAAATTGCTTTATCACAAATAACAGCGTCTCTTGTTGCGCTAGCAAGCGATTTGACTATGAAATGTTCACTCGACCTCCCTCCCCCAAATCACCAGTACTCGAGTAGTTCGAATTAGTTTAGACAAGAAACTAGTGTATATGCTGTGTTAAACTATGGGAAATCGTGTATACGCTTGTCCTTGACGCAATGAATTGAACAAAGAAATCAGAAACTTATTTAGACTGTTTGCAGTCCCATAGTTTTCGGCCTGATGGAGGAGTTCGAACACCACCATCTTTCTATGAATAAAAGAAATCTCGAAGCTGGGAAGAGAACAGCAGATCCAACTCCGGGGACGGCTACTCTCCCCAGTTTTCGCTTGCTGTGAACAAAACAACAGCAACAAAACAATATGGTGGTAATAAGGGACCGTGACGTGATTAAACTGATGGCGAACAATTTGGCAGGAATGGATTAGTGGAGATAGATAGCCGCCTTGTGCATTCCCTTCCAACGTCGCTACTTAAAAGGCTAAAAAGCCATCACTCATTGCAATATAGAGTAAATGAATTGTTGATATAGCAAATGAATTTGTAATTATATATTTGTAAACCCTGATGAATTTTTGCCGTGTCTAAAGAATGATTAAAGAAAGATTAGAAATTTAAGTCATTCTAATTTTTTTGGATATTCGGAGCTGATACCAGTTAATTTTTATTTTACTTGTTTGTCTTTCTAGGCTATTTCTTTATTTAATTTCATATTTTTCTCGTAATTATTATCATGTTTTGATGTTCCGGGATGTTCCGGGATGATCCGGGATGATCCGGGATGTTCCGGGATGTTCCGGGATGTTCCGGGATGTTCCGGAATGTTCTGGAATGTTAATTCTTTATCGATGGCTTGATCTAATTAGATCATGACTAAATAATTGGTATGAACAACTGGCGTTATTTTGAACTGAGCAACAGATTATATAAGGCGTTTTTTTTGTTTTTTCCACTCTTTTTATTTTTATAGGAATAAATTTTTTTGATAAGAATACCCAGGCTGAAATTTGAGACATTCTAAGAATATTTTAAGCCGCAATAAACCCGAGGCTGAGACTTTGAAACCAATCTATTTCGTGGGTTGAAAATTTGTAAATACGTTCATATGTTTTAAACTATACCTTATTATCTCTCAGTTAGTACGCGCGCTGTGATTGGTCAATTTAGCGGTCCGTATTCTACTGTACGGCCCGCTAAAATTTTTAAAAAGCCGTTATTGTTGCCAAAATGTTTCGTGATTTATCGCCAAGTTTTCTTACCTTTTTTAGCAAGTAAAAGTTTAAAACTTTCTTTTACTTCTGAAATTGTATATTAAAACCTGCTAACGACGTAAGAGTCACTTGACAACAATTTCGAATTGACTCGTTTTACTTTCGAGGTGCGTCACAAATTTGAAGCCATTCCGCGTGAGTAGAAATCGTTGCTGAACCCGTCAGACACACAGTAGAGGTATAATAAATATCGTACTAACCTCGTTTTCTTGGTCCGTATTGTAAGTTACGGATCCTCGTTTTTCCCCTTCGATTTATGGCTCGCACGCTTCGCGCTTAGACTCGGTCCGTAACTTACAGTACGGCTCGCGAACTCGGTTATTGAGATGTAACCAGCCAAAAAGCAACACAAGAGGCACTAGCGGCATGTCCGATATTAATGACATTTGTGCAACGAGTTATGTGTGTCATACCAGGCTTTATTGCCTGCAGTCTGGCACCAAAATTACTTCAACGCCGTCAAGTCAATAAAACCCAAATGCCATACGCCAGAATCTAAGAACATTCACAAGAATATTTTCAGCCTAGGTTAAATCGACAGAAGATAAGAATATTCTGCCTGGGCCGGAAAAACAATATTCTTGTACCTGTTATTTTCAAGAAACCTAAGACATTCTAGAAGAGGACAGTGATGTTCCAAGCGGTAAAAATTTTACCAGTCACCGCTTGATGAGGCGAACGCTGCCGGGAGACGACTTTGGATATAGGACTGGGGTGCTGGGATCTCAGTTATATCAGGAGCCATAATCGGGGACGGAGACCGTAAGTCTTGGGATCCGCGCGCACCTATGATATGGGACAATTTTTCTATTTTTAGAACAAATTGCGCCATCCTGACGTC